CCAGGTGTGAGTCCACTTCATTAAAATGAGTAAATAAACACTCAAGAGGGTCATTTCAAAGGCGAGGCCACAGAAGTCTCTTGCCTCATGGAGGCCGTCCATGATGTCACGTGTTTAAATCTGGGGGGATCGAATTTGTTCAGCACTGCTCGAGATCAAGAGGGCAGGAGACATGGCAGGAGGTGACTGAGGGATGGTGTAGAGATGCTGCAGGAAACCCAGCCGAAGAGGAGGCTGCCCCCTGAGAGTACATGCGCACACACACGGACATAGGAACCGTCCCACAGGAGAACGCTAGCAGGCTACACCTGGATGACAAACTCAGGGTTGGTGTAGGAGAATCCCTGGAATTCATTCTGGTCCAAGTTCATGATGAAGAGCTTGTCTGTGGGCGTCAGCTCGATGGGCATCTTGGTGAATTCCTTGTCGAAGTTACTGGGATCCTTCCTGTTCTTCTGGGTGCCAGGGAAAGAGGAAGAAATGAAACAGTACTTAGCACTACTTCAGACATTTACAACCCCCTACTTCATATGTTTTTAAATGTTTATATTTATTTGCTGCTAGATTAGCTACTTCTTGCATCATCCTGATTTTAAGCCCGGCTGTCGGCTCGTTTGGAGTCTGATTAATAAAGTTTCCATGTGAAATGGAGGCTCTTTCTCCATGGCGGACCAGAGTGCCCACCCGCGACGCCTCCTGTGTCCAAATGGACCCGGGGCGGCCGGAGCAATGAGGAAGGCGGCTGAAAAGCGGCGAACGCTGTGCCAGGCCCACAGGCCTTTTGTGGTGTGGGGGGGATTCCTCTCTGCCTCGGTATCTTCTGCCCCGTTTACACGGAAGGAGGAGGCGGCAGATGGTAAGCCCTGAAGACTGTACGGTGTACAGTCTGGGAAAGGTAGCAGTGTGTTTGTGTGTGTGTGTGTGTGTGTGTGGGGGGGGGGTGCTGGGAGTGCATGGGGCTAGGAGACCATCCTACTTTGCTTTGCTACAGATGCTGAGTGGGACAGGTACAGCACTGGGACTGGGAGAAAGTATATTAAAACAAAAAAGCTACATTATGTGATTATAGCTAACAATTTGTAATGCCTTTTACCTGAATAAAAAGATCAAAAGTAGATTTCATAAAGTTGCTTTCTTTGATTCAGGCTTTTAAAAATAATATTATTATAATATAATTGGTTGCGTTACCATACACAGTATTTTTATATTAGATATAAGTCTGTGAAACCTTTGCCGACACCATGACAATAACATTAACAAATACAGAAATATATGCAAAATTGTCAATAATTCTTGAATTCTAATAGCGTCATTCAAATAATATCATTCATCCTACTATGCATGCAAATCCAAAGCGATAAAGATACAATAACTACATTCTGTAATTCTCAATACACAGATTAAGTAGGACTGTGCCCAGCCATCCCAAAGAACAAAATTCGAAAAACACAAAGAGAGAACGGCGGAGAAAGTGACCTAACATCTCAACACAATACGAGTATACGAGTAAACAGGGAGAGAGCAGCTCACAGAGGAGAGTCAGAGAAAAGTGGCAAGAACTACAAACGGGGACAAAACGAGAAGCAAACAGCGGTGTTAGAGACAGGAAACGTCTTACAGGAAAGCTGACAGAACAGCTGAATGTTTCCTACCTGCTTCAACGGCCTTGCCGGTGGGCTCAGCCCCAGGGACAGGCTGCTCACAAGGCCCACTTCCAGTGAAGGAACTTGGGCCTCATCTCCACTCAAGTACCTGGATGTCCTGAGGCCTAAACATAGCTGCTCGATGTGACAGCCCACTTGGCAATTGAGCGTCTTTTGCACAAATCGAACGGTGTCAAAGGGAAGCCATCAAGGGAAGCGCTCTAAAATATCAGTAATTAACAATTGTTTACCAACAGCAAAATGGTGAAGGTAATGATTTATTATTAACTGTATGTTTAGATTGTCTCTTAGGCATATTGCTGTTGTTAGGAGGGAAAAAGAACAAGGCAGCCCATTGAACACCACCTCAGGTTGGGAAATTTCTTCATTTATGCATAGAGTAACAATATTAATGAGGAACACTGCAGTGGAATTAGACCTCAAATGTAAAAAGAAAATCATACAACTATTATTTCTAATTATTATTGTAAAGGCTCATCATTTGAAAACCTGACATACACAAGCTATTAACTTATTCAATATTTATGATTATCTTAATATTACCCAGACAGATTACAAACCTACCATAAATCCCACATTAGCAAAAGGTAACAGATGAGATCAGTAGGTTTATTTTTTTCCCCTGAATTTTGCTGGATCTTTTTATCTGTTGCCAGTTGGAGTAGCACTGCACCTGGAGCAAGCACATCTGGAGCAGTCGTTCCGCTTCTCTGTGGGAGAGAGCGCTAACCTTCCTGACTGGCTACTTTTCATTGTGACGACCTATATAACAATCTGGTGGCGGCTAACAAGTCAAAAGGCCAGAGCTGTGCGTCAGGATCCTCTCAGGGACCCTCAGCAGAGGCTGGGTGTGTATGACGAGCATGCAGCGTCCTTCCTTTGGGGTCACATGACCAGCCGATACCATCCTGGCTTTAATTCTGCAGCCCCCTCCCCCCCCGTCTCTGTCAGAGCGACAGCAGACGGTGTGTGTGTGTGTGTACACGTGGTACGTGGAGGGTGGGGTGGCACTCTAAATTCAAGGGGAAATGAAGAGAGAGAGACCTGAGAAGGACAATTTTAAAGAACAATTAAATAAAATGGAGGTCACAGGAAGAACTATTGTTTCCAGTTTTTGTGCTCAGGCCCTGATCGTATCATGGGTTTTGCGCTGATTCAAATTCCCCGTGTCTGTTCCGTGCGCAGGCCTCTCTCCCAGGCTGTGAGGCCGGCATCCGCGTGTCACCGGCGCGCCGCAGGCCCGGCGGGAAGCGGCCACGAGCGAAGAGGCGGCTCGGAAATGGGGCGGTATGCGCGGAGGATCCCGCCCGCGCCGAGAGGACGGGCAGCCGCTGCCCACGGCCACGCATCCACAGGCGCCGGAATCAGGCAGTACCGACGTAACAGAGGGGGAGGGCTTTGCGGCGAATCACCCACACTAATCAAACGGGAGTTTAATTCGAGTTCACACTCTTTAATTTATCCCCCATTAAGGGGAGAGGGGTTTTTCAGGAGGACCCAGATTAGGGTTCGGCTGATGTCAGCTGAGGCACCGGGGCTACGACGGAAAACGGCAGGAACAGGCGACGACCTGCTTTCAGCAGATAAGCCTTGCACACTCCAAGCAGCTGATTTTAATTTGAGCCTGTGACATTCAGAATTAATTAACAATCACGCACCACAGTGCTGAACATACACTGCAGATAAGGGCTAACCAAGTTTTTTTCAGCTTTTTTTTTTTTTTAATGGAGCAGAGGGCCCTATGAACAGAGCAGAATGATGAATAATACTTTTAATACCGATAATACCAATATTAACACTAATCATAACTATATTTCTAATAATATTAAAAATGATGGTGGCTTCCTTACACAGCCATTTACTTCTAAACAAAGAAAAATAATCAAGCTCTTTTTTCTTTAATTCTCAGTATGACATCACGGGGAGCCATGTGATGTCACACGGACATTGAGGGAATAGAATGCGGCAACTATCCAAAGTCCAGCCCCCTCCTGAGCAATGTTAGAAATGGTTCACTTACCATTCCCTATATAGAAAAATCTGTGTAGTTCACTATATAGGGAATTAGTCAGTGAAGAAAGACGACGAATTCGGACACCACGTTCTAAGATGCTCTGTGTTGGTATCCTAGCAACCCTTGACAGCTGACATTTGCGAGTAACGAAATACAGCAACAACATAAATGGAAAAAAGGAGATAAACTGAATATGGATGTGTGAGCCTGCCATTTCATTTTTATTTCATTACTATTTATTATTTGCAATTGGAATGTCAACTTAGTCTTTGCACAGATTGCTTGTAGCTGTTACTTTTTAAAATAAAAAAAACTGCATACAAAGTTGCCCTCTCGCACATCTTGTGTTACATGCGACCAGTTAACAACAGATGTCACTTTCACATTGCATTATAGTATGTAGGGAGCATGCTTGTTTACACTGTCTGTACACTGTAGTTTGCAGTGCATTGTGGGTATTTTACAGTGCACTACATAGTCTGGGGTTTGCCTTTGAGAATTCCAACAGCACCTGAGAATGACACTGTATAGCGCACTACTTAGAGAAGAGGGGACTATTTAGGGAACTCCAAACAGCAAAGTGCACAGCACAGCGTGTGTACTGTATGTCGTCCACTTTGGGGCTTTTGTTTAGGTCGGGCTTCTCTGATTCTTGACCACAGCCGGCAATCTTTTTATCCTATACAGGCAGGAACGAGGTCTGTTCCCTAAGTCTGCCTTTAAGTTGAATTTGTAGGTAAGTCAGAATAATAATATAGTAATAATAATGTCAATAATACAGTAATAATAATAATACAGTCATAATAAAAGTAACTACATATGGAACTGTACTGCACCTCAAGCCAACAAACTGCAGAAGCTGCACAATGTTTTCTTGAGCGTTACAAAGTAGAGCATGTGTTTGTTATCACAACCCATCGTGTTTAATATAATAGGCTTTATAGCAGTACGTTTGTAAGAATGACTGGTCCATATGTCGGACGTTCTTAACCTGGGTACTGCCTGAACTCAAGACCAGAAAAAAATCTATTCTTCTTTTGCACCCCTCATGTTCTGTTGCTAAACTGCAGTACTATGTAACAAAAAACAGTTTATTATGAGTTTATATTATAATATCTATTCAATATGACCCTGGCACTGTTGAATTTAGGGATTATGGACAGTTGTAATCCCAGAAGGCAGACTCTACTTCAGAGTAAGGTGAAGGAATCCTACTCATGTTTATATCCTGGCTGGAAGCTGGAACCTGATCACATGACGAGCTACGATTCAGTTGAATCCCTTTAGAGTCCCACGTTAGATTCCACTAGAAAGCTACAATGTGCGTTCATCGATGTTTTTTTATTTTCAGAAAATACTTTGTACATTAACAACATCTGACTTAGTGAATATAGCGATAGGATTAGCAAAACCCCTTATAGTCACATTTTCAGCAAAGAATCCACATGCAAAATTATTAATATGCTTTTAATGCAAAACCCTGCTTGCACCCTCTGTTTAGAAAAGACATAAAATAATGTAATTAGTAATATTATTACAATACTGTAAGGCTCACAGACATAAAACCCAGCCACATTGTTTAGTACATTTATCGTATACAATTTGACACTTTTGAAATACACATTTCAATGCATATATACTCCCTTTTTAGAGACACTTACAAAAATAATAAAGGCTTATATTTTACCATTGACTGATTTTGGCAGAAATTATACATTTCATATTAATTTAGCTACGGAAATAATTCATCTTAAAATCTGATGAACTTTTCAGGCCCATTTCATTTTCCAATTTATATACATTATATATAAATTGGAAAATAATTATGAAATACTCTGTCTGAGGAACGCCACCCCAATTGAACATTGCGGGTAAAATCTGAAATCACTGGTAGCTATCAATAACTTCTTCAATTCTACCTACAAACATTACAGACACTGAAGATAAGCGTAAGACATGTCAGACAATCTCAACAGCTTCAGTTGATGTGCAGGTCTTTTGCTGTTGCTGGAGCTCTCTGCATTTCACAGGTTGGCACAAACTCCAGTGGAAATGATCAGCTTTCCTGCCCGGATACTATCCGTGTGTATGCAACCGAAATCCGCAACCGGCACAGTAAAGTCTGCTCTGCACCGTCAAGCCCAGATTAGTTTCTGTTTGGGGAATGGAGACAGGCTGTGCTACTCGAATGCTAACTGAATTACCCAGCGGACAAGTGCCCGCTTCATTCGTTTGTTTTTTCATTTGCGTGCATGAGAGGCAGTTTGAATCGAACGTGACCTTTTCGGCGCGGCACCCCATCTCAGACACTTGGGTGAAGCCGAGACGGATCTAGATCGCCGTTGTTCATGTTTTTGGAGAAGTCATACTTTTTCTAGAACTTCCGAGTTCTACATACCCCACGGTACAGTGAAACCCTGAGCTTGCGTCACGGATGAAAATGCATAACTGTACAGCGACGGCATTATCTGCACGAGTAACAGCTTACAGCGGTCGTGGCAGTGATGTCCCGGTAAAGACTGGGTTTTGCCCATCCAGGTAAAGACCAGACACAGTGTTGGAGGAGAAATCTGCATTTGTTCAATCAAAATAAGCACTCATCTGGCGCAGTCTGTCTCCCTTCACCATAAAGAACAAGAAAAGGCCAAGAGCATCGTTACGTGTGACCGTGTTTTGTGTATGAAGGCGACTGGCTGTAGGCAGAAGGCTAGCTCCCTGCTCACACTGGGGGGGCTGGGGGGGTGCTCCTCACTGGAGAAGTCTGGGAGAAACAGCCTTTGCTAATGCATTTCTAGGGCAGTCTTTCCCAACCCGGTCCTTCAGGAGCCCCAGACGGTCCACATTTTTGCTTCCTCGCAGCAAAAATGTGGACTGTCTAGGGGCCTCCATGGACCAAATTAAGAAACACTGCTCTGAGGAACCACAGGAGATGGGTATCCAGGTCACATCCGTGACCCCCCCAGTGCTCGAAGCAGCCTGTCTGTTGGTATGGGAGGGGGTAAATGAGCTCCACTAAACAAAACCACAATGAGAGCACTAATTTGAGAACAAGAAACTGCTGGACCAATTTATCCTGTAAACAATCTCGTCATGCTTGGGGAGAAAAAAATCAAAACAAAAAAAAAAGACAATTTATCATAGACTGTTAGAAATACCACATTTCTGCATATTTTTATAGCTTGTGTTAGTTAAGAATTGCATTGACAGAAGCTTATGCAAATTTAAGTTACATTTTCCATTTTAATTTCCATGGGATTCTGGAACTTGTCCGGAACACATTTCGCTTATTAACCAAAGGAACAAAAACAAAAAAAACAATCTGATGTTAGATGTGGGCTCAAAATGCAGCCATTGAATGGAAACCACGGAATCGTCCGCTCATCCTGAAACCGACGGCTCTCTCCACGCTCCAGCTCAATAACTCCATCAGTGGAAGGAAGTTCTGTCAAGATGAGAGTCTGGTGGAACAAAATGTTTATGGAAGAGCTGCGGGGAGGCTGCGATGGTGTCAGCAGGGGCAATGTGACACGGAGCGTTGGGATGGACAGGTCATGGAAGAAGCTCTGGAATATCCAGGGTTGAGAGCTAAAACTGACACAACCACCATGGATAATCTCTCTGATTATAAAATTCGATTGACAATGGAATGGAAGTACAATGTTGGACCCACACCAGAGCAAGTCATTCATGGGAATTCACACAGAGATTCAAATCCCATAAGCTCATAAATGGGGCTGTGTTTATATACATATACAGCACAGTACATATATATAAACAGATAACGTAAAGAGTACCGTAAATATGGGTAATGCATCAAGGAGCTCAGGATTAGCGTCTCATGCGGTCCTTAACTCCTGGCTGGCGTGTCGCTATAAACGGGGTTTATATAGGAAAAGCCCTCAAAATCGGCTTGGTCAAGGTTCATGATGACCTCCTGGTCAGGCGGGGTTAACACTGGAGGATGGCGGGTGAAAAAGCGATCAAAGTTCTCAGCGTCGCGGCCACACTGTGGGGGGGAGAGAAGAGGGAGAGAGGCATGTGGTGGGTGGGGCGGGCAGAGACGATGCAAGGCGGAGCGCGATGCAGGAACCGAGCGTGAGAGGGCGCTGGGGGGGGGGGGGGGGGGCGGAGACGTCCCGGGAAGGCCCAGGATCTCTGCGCCGAAGCTGTGAGATGAAACATGAAACCCCCCCACCACCACCTCCACCCAGTCTGGCACCATTTCAGGACACCGGCACAATCCTGAGCAGGCACCCATTTGGGGCAGGTATACAGGACTCATAAGGGAAGATGGAGAATTGTAAGTGAAAACCATGTCTCTGATTATCACAGTGCAGCCAGATGCTGTGCGTTAGGGTGGTCCGAAGAGCTGGCGTGACTGAGGGACTAGAGCAGGGGTCACCAACCTTTTTGAAACTGAGAGCTACTTCATCGGTACTGAGCCATACAAAGGGCTACCAGTTTGAAACGCCCTCCTAAACTTATCTAAACTTCATGTATAATAAACATGTTTTAAATGTTTTTTTTTTAAAAGATATTGTCATTTTCAAATCTTTATAAATGCAAATGTGATTAAAGAAGAATAGCAACAGGATAAAATTACATTTTAGACGCTGCTCACTGATGAGTTGTGTTATATTTAGAACAGGTCCGCGGGCGACTCATGTGGTGCTTGGGGGCATCTTGGTGCCCGGGGGCACCATGTTGGTGACCCCTGGACTAGAGTGACGCCAAACTCCCTGGAGGCCTTGTCTGTGCCTGTGCCAATGCAACATGTCACCCAAAAGCAACTCCTCACACATGATCTGGTCTTTTAGGAGCCGAGTTATACAGATACATTCCAACAGGACATATGCTACTTTAGTCGGCCAATAGAGAGCAGCCAGCTGAAGACTCACAGCCAGTAATATGCTAGATAGTTCATTTAAAGCTACTCTGAAAATCTGCAGCCTTTTTCATCTGCAAACTGTAAGGTTAATCAAATGTTCTGGGAAGTAACAAACTCTGCTGCTTCCCTACCTCTGCAAAAAAGAGAGAGGTAGAATTAAAGCCCTTTGAATTTTCACTGGGCCCCAGGGCAGCCAGTAAAAGCTTAACCCCCCAGACCCCTTTTTACAGCTCTGTCACCCAGACCCCCTCGGGGTGTTTTATCCCACCTTTCCATTAGCTCTTTGCTTGCTGTCTGAAAAGCCCCTCCTTCCCGCCATGGCACTCATTTTCCCGCCAAAACGAGGTGGCGCTCCATCACGAGCCACCAAGGACCCCTGTAATAGGTGGCCCGGGGTGCCTGCGCCGCTTTCTCCCATTCATTATTAGCATTTCATTCTGTTGATGAGTTAGTTTCACATTTATCTAAAACTGACACTAATGTTCAATTTACCGTCACTGAGAGTGAGACCCACTGCAGAGAGGGAATATAAAGCTTAAGCTTAGTGTGGTTTCCCAGATCGCAGCGGCATCGCTGTGCCGGTGAGGATTACTGTCTCGCTCGGGATCGCTCGTCAGGGACGGATCGGCCGCTATCGAATTCTAAGTGCAAACACGCATGTCTCCATTTGAGGGGCCTCGCCGCTAATGATATCCAAGGAGGCTGCCATCAGCAGGATCCATCGGGCAGCGAGGGCCGCTTAGCCACAAGCACCAGGCTGCAGTGCGCCACGCCTCTCGCCGTTCCATCAGAGCCTGAAATCGAGGCGAGAGCTTTTCGGTGTCCTCATGGACATGCCTGTCAGGAGCGATTAGCGTCAGGACCGGCCGCGGCACAGGGAGACGGCCCTGTTAAGGCAGACAGGCAATGGCCGCCTGACAACATACCCTAAACGCCGCCGTTTACCACACACTGTGTCCTCTTTTCGCCGTGTGCAGCCCACCCCCCCACCTTTGCTGTGCTCTGAAGACACCTCCGGAGCTCCGTCATCACTCCTTATAACCCCCCCCGCTGCCCCCCAGCCTCCTTCATCACTCCTTATAAGCCCCCCCCCCCGCTCCCCCAGCCTCCGTCATCACTTAGGCAAATAGCATACAAACCCAAACTGAAAAAGTAAAAAAAAAATCAGAACTGAAGTGATAATTTTTCCATTTTTCAAGGCACTTTCTCTTACAAGAAAATAACGACAAGACCTCCGAGGGAGCTGCAACTTTGGCTATTTTTAAGTGGCTCCTCTAATCTGACCTCCAGACCCCAGCGATCGTAACTGCCGTTCACTGGCCCATCCCAGAGCAGAACACGGGACTCCGAAACCAGTGACGCTTTTCAACTTCATGAAGCCCAAACCAGACTGAAATGAAACTGAGTCACCAAGTACGGGTGGACCGTGTGTTCAGGTCGAACTGGTGCTGAAAGGCTCGTCGATGCAGCTGCCCAGGACGGGTTAGAGAAGAGGGAACTCACCCAGGCCGGGGGCTAGTGAGAGAGCGGCTCCCCCACAGCCACAAAGCATCACATTGGCCCGTCCTCATTATGGCACTAATAAGATAAAAACGGCAGCTCTGAATCCCACCTGCTAGCTCACACTGAGCAGCACACAGTGGATGAAAGACCCCTGCTTTTCAGCACAGTACCGCATCAGTAAGCGGCGTTTCAGCAGGTTTGGCCCGGGTGTCATCATCGATCCGAGAAGGTATGCATGGGGCACACAGGTCCCACCATTATCGCATTACCACTAAACAAACACTTATCAGCCATGCCTTTCTTCCTAATTACTCCTTTGTTTATTTCATTATTATTATTAATATTAATCTAGAGGCCCTGCTATTCCCTGATGGAATTACAGTCCAGGTAGCTCGCTCAGTAACGAAAACCTCCCAGATGGGAAGCAAACCTGTAACCCTCTGGCGCGGAGGCCTGTTTCATATCCATAAGGCCACTGCCTGCCTGCTTTTCATTGCTGCCCTCCTTTCCGCTGCCCCCCCCCCACCGATGCCAGATGCTATCAAATTATCATGGTTGTGGCTCTGCGAGTCCGTAATAGTGGGGGCCGGTGCTAATGGGTAGATGGCGGTGTTAATGAGAAGAGGGACGTGAAGGGACAGCGCCAGAATGTCACTCTGGCTCCCGGGTCACCGGGGTTACCGTCCCCGAGTCCTCGGCCTGGCGGTTGGCGAGGACAATGCCAGCCAATGAGTCGTATCAATAAGGCCGGCCCTAACGTTGCGAGCGTGCCATTCCGGCCAGCGCCAGCCTTGGCGCACAGAGCCCTGCGGCGCCCGCGTTCCTACGCTCTCCTCAAACACAAAAACACATCATTGTGTTACACATTGATGTAACTGTGCTCCGAACTACGCAATCAGGAGGCTTCTCCTCCCGTGACTGTAATAGAGCAGTGATTCCCGCAGCTGTAATGCGATCGCGGTCCTTGACTACCCCTGCTAATGCTTACATGATTAGGCATGAGTCAGCTGTTGATTACACTGAAATATTCTGGAGGAGTGTTCATACAGATAAGAAAAATCTAATTATAGTTACCTAACAGATCACGAATCCTGAAGTATTAACCAATGAATCATGGATTAATTCTAATATAAATACTCAAACTCTCCAACTGCATCAACATAACATACATATAGAACATACAATAAACTATACTGCATATAGCACTCCTAAATAATAGCAAATAATAGCATAATGTAAAAATAACCATCCTCACCCTCTCGTGACATTCTATACACAATAGTCAAAAACTTATAGAACAAAAAGTAATGTTTTACAGTGATGACTACAGAAAAGCTACTAGACCATTTCTTTATAAAAAGTGTCTGGCCACATACATCATTGTGAACTATGGCATTATGCGTCCCAAACGGCTTTAGTGAAGCGGCCCCCTCCTCATTTGGACTGCAGGCCCAAACCTAGCTCCCCCCACCTCCCTATCCAGGAGTTCAAAGCTAAGTTTCAAAGCCGATACTTTAGCAACATGTTAAAACACATTTCAAAGATGCAAAGTGCTTTTACTGCATATGCCGTCTGTGCAGCAGCCAGCAGAAGCTTGGAAAGCAGTGTTACACGGAACCAGAATGAGCAGGAATGCCGTCTGGGCCTTCTCCCAGGGACTGACTGCACCTGTGGGGAGAGAAGCCCCGCCTCCGCGACCTCATTGGCCGGTTCTCTAAGACGGCGGGCCTGTGGGTGAGCATGTGTCGCCGCACTTACTGCTTTGGGCTTGAACGGTGGCTGGACCTCCTTGTTCGCCAGCTTCTCCCAGTCCATGTAGCGGAAGAAGGCGTGCTCCTTGATGTCGCGCTCGCCCTCTGGGCCGCAGCCCAGCCGCTTGCCCGGGTGCTTGGTCATCAGCTGGAAGCCGGAGAGGTTAAAGGTCAGCCTCCGAGTGGCACTTCCATCCCTTTCCTCCCGAATGGCATCTCTCCGAGGACCCTGCCCACTACCCTCACACAGCAGATGCTATAAAGTCTGCAATTTCCCACCAGCGTATGAAACAATGAAGAGAGACGGCTTTAATAATAATAATAAAAAAGATTTTATAAGTCCTTTAGCAGTTGTGGGTAAAATGTTTACCTTGGAGAAACAACTTCTTGGTTATAAGATTAAGATTTGATTCAGGCCACTGAACTCAGTCTTATGTCAATGGGAAGCAGGAAATGGGTGAAGCTCATCACCCCAGTGAAACCTTCTGTGGGCCCCACAATGAGTGTGGACCATGCATGGCAACATATTTTTTCATTCTGGGTGGAGAGGAGGACAAGCAGCCAGCGACTTCATCAGTGATCTGAACACTTTCAAACATCCAGAATGGAACATGGACACCAGAATCACCCTTAATATCGCAGACAGAAATGACACTCCGTGTGTTACTAGCCCTGTTTCCAGGGTATACATTGTAGCTTGGCAAATGGGGGCCCACCTAGAAACATATTGGGCCTCCAAAAGAGGTTTCTCAGTTGGTATCTCACAAAAGCTAACTGATGTGCTATTTGATCAGGCTTGCATAGCTTTTGTATGTCTCAACAAATGACACCTCATAATATAATATAATTATGAAGTGACCCATGAAATGGCTACAGTACAGACATATAATTAATATAATCATTCATTTTCCAAACTGCTTATCCTTATGCGTTGCAGGGGGTCCAGAGCCTATCCCAGAAGCTACAGGCACAAGGCAGGGAACGACCCAGGTCAGGGGGGGCAGCCCATCACAGAGCACACTCACCATTCACAATTTAGTAACTCCAATTAGCCTCAGCATGTTTTTGGACTGTGGGGGGAAACTGGAGTACCTGGAGAAACCCCACGACGACACGGGGAGAACATGCAAACTCCACACAAATCTAACCCAGGCGGAGACTCGAACCTGGGTCCCAGAGTTGTGAGGCAACGGTGCTAACCACTGCACTGCACTGCAAAACTACACTGGCCCCTTAATGAGCACTGTTGGAAAATCTGGCCCATGGTGGAAACTAATTGCCAAACCCTGGCAAACGTTATGGACTGGAGGCCTCTGACATTTCATTCCTCCCATGTCTGGAGATAAGAGGCAGCAAATCCCAGGACCTGCTTGGGCAGAAGGATGGTGCCCCCAGTGAGCCCACTGTACACGGTGCCATTGATTCCTGACAGTACAGCTCCGGACCGGCCCGGCCCACCCCTCTGACAGGTATCTTTCGCTTCATATTAAATACACTGAATACAGGTCAGTTAGATACTCTCCCTCGAACCTGGGTCCTTGGGTTCAGCGGCCGGCTGCCTGTACTGTAGGCATTTCATGGGTCATTTCGTAATATTCACTTTGGTTACACCTAGAGGTCTGTGAAAGATGGCTCCTGCAACCCCACCCCCCCCACCCGTTCCCCCCACTCAGACTAAGATTAAAATGCTCAGGCTTGCAGTGTCAGAAGACAGCTCTGTTTTCTTCAGGCAACTGTGTGCCATCCTTATGTCCCAAGACAGTTCTGGTGATGTGGAGCCCCTGGAACCACGCACCCCCCCCCCTCCCCACTCCTTCACTATCTGCCTGATCCATCGACTAGCTCTGCTTCACCCCTCAGGCTGCTTCCTGAAACACCCCCACAGCGCACTGAGGCAGGCTCGCCGGTCCACGCCCCCCATTGTCTGAAACTGGACATGGCACCTGAGGAAGACTGTGGGGGCAATGAGACATTTTAACAGGGGGAGATTTATCAGCCTGCTTCTCGCTACATACTGTTTGTCACACAGATACGTCAGGAAAACCTCCCTTTCAAACAGAACCACAGGACTGCAGCAGTGTTGGCGGGATGGGGTCCCGGGCATGCGGCCCCGCAGCCCACACGTGTCGGGGCCCCCCGAAGCATGATTATGCTGATTATCCACGGGGCCCGGAGTGTCACACAGCCACCTCCGGCTGGGGGGCTTCTGTCACCATTTATTTATTTACTGCAGGAAATCTGTTGTTTACATCCCTGCCGCATGAAGGTGGCACTCAAAATGATTCATACCATTTCCTCCTCTAAATGACACATTTATTAATTTCTTCCTCATGAATACGCATGTCAGTGCCCCTCTGCGTATGTCATCACTGGCTCCGGCCCACAGAAGCGCACTGGAACGCAGGCAGAGCAGCCTCTGAACAGTGCCTCCTTCCGTTTGAACTCGCAGGGTCCCGTGCAGAAGGCAGCAGCGGCAGTGTATCTGGAAGGCCGTATAAAATAACCTGCTCCCCCTGCAAACGTTTATACTGCCCCACAAAGGCAAAACACAGTAACTGCATATTTTATCAAAAAAGTTATTGCCGAAATAGGGTCTTTGTAGGGGGGCGACGCGATGACAGGGTGGTTACCAGTGTTAACCTCACACCTGCCTTGTGCCCATAGTCTCCGGGATAAGTGCGGACCCCCCCCGTGACCCTGAATAGGATGAGCGGTTACAGAAAATGGATGGATGGATGGATGGATGGATGGGTTTTTATAGGCTCTGTTTTATAGCATAACATCATATCTTAGTTCCACCTAAGTCTTAAAGAAACTGCAAAATCCAGTGTCAGCATAGTCACTGTGCTTGGCCTCTGTGAGGCAGTACATTGGGCCCTGTTACCCGGCTAGCCAGATAACCCTTTCATATAACTTTAGCAGTGACTGCGCTCGGGTCGCTGTGTGCAGACCCACGCATTCCTGCGGCTGTGCTGCTCCTGTCCTCAATCCGCTTCACCTCCAAAGAAGCCAGAGGAGTCCAGCGGTGACTTTAGAGTTTCCTGAACAGCCGCTCGGTCTGGATGAAAGCTCTCGGCAAACACAAAGCAAGCAAAACAATGGGGGGGGGGGGTAGGAAATGAGAACTAACCTCAGAGAAGGGCCTCTTTTTTGGTCAGAATTCAAACGCCACGATGCTGCGCTTTTATGGCAGTCACACAAAAGCAGGTGCATTGGAATGCACGGCGCCACATGCTTGATTCATTATTTAATGCTTGAATTAGCATAAATCTATTAGAAAACCGATCCCTTGAGCCCCCCCCCCCCAGTGTTTTTTTTTTTTTTGTTTTCAACAAACCTTTATACTTCATGAATCGTGCATTAACATGAGATAAGTAACCCA